GAATGATTTTGAAATTATACTGAGGAGTGCAATTACAGATTTTTAGTGGAATAATTTGTAATTTATTATGGTAGGTTAATTCATTCATTTTGTGAATTAATACCATAATTGGAAGCCTCACTAATTAAATATGTGGTCTCTGCTATGCCTGATTAATTAATGAACTTGGAAAGGAAGAAATCAATTTTTAGAAGAAGAAAAATCCTACAAAATTTTGGTTAAAATAAACTAGTCTTCTAGAAGGAAAGTTTGACTATTACTTGAAAAGAAAGATTCCTATACGTTTTGGGAATAGGATTTTATACCCTTAAAATGTGACTATAAATAGGATTCTCTTCCTCCATGGAATATGATGAAAGAACTTTTTACCTTTCCGAGAAGCAGTACTTGCCCACACAAGTATTCCCTACTCGAAGATTTTTAAGGCTATAGCAGAAGATTACAGACATGGAGAACGTATTGGACGATGTATGCAACAGCTTCAAGAGGATTGATTCGCGGTCACGTTTCAAGAGATAAGTATCGATTTTATGTTTGGTTAAAATCTGTGTTTAAGTGTTGTCTATATTACATGAAAGTTTGATCTTGAATTGTTTGTTTCCGCTACATATGTCTTAAATCCATCAGCTAGGGGGTCACTGAGATGCTCTTCTTGCAAGAATGGCAAGCACCGTAGAGCCATGGGACGTAGGGCAAAGTAGTAATGCCACGTCATCATGAACTCCAGTGAAAGCGCGCCTGTGTATGGGCAGACAAGCTCACACGTGACACAAACTTTAGGTTCAAGCGCACACACATCAAGCGTAGGTGTGAGCACACGCGAGGTAGTGCAAATTGTAGGGCTCACGACATCAACATCTTGACAGGTGACACCTAAACTAAATAACATTTTGGGGTTCATTTTCACTATTTCAACTTGGAGAATTTTACCGCGACACTCTCTGTTCTCTTCACCTTATTTTCCACCTTTAAGGTAAGAACTCTCCATTATTTTTAGGTTAAAGATTATCATGTTGGATATAAATTGACACATTTTACTCATGAATTCACTTAGAATTTAGGAAATTATTTCAAGAGGTCAAGTGGAAGTTTTGGCTAATGTTCTTCACAGGAGGTAAGATTTCTTCTCTAAACTCACATGCATGTTAAAATGGTAACCTTAGGAGTATGATTTAATGTTAGGACTTATGAGGTGGTGATTGAAAACCATGAGTCCTAGTTTTGATTGTTATAGATAATGGAAGAATTGTGTAAATGGTGGAATGGTGGGTTGGGAGTATATTGTTAACCTCACGAGTGACGAGGGCAGATGTTACACATTTATAAATGTTTGTTGTATCATTTTTTTGTAAGAGAAAGGATGTGGGATGAAGAAATACTATGAATAAATAGAGGCGGATCTAGGAATTAGTCTCCGGCTGCCATGCAGATGCATTGATTAAATTTTTTTGGCTTCAATTTAGATTATTTATTTTTTGATTATATGAAAATCGATAAAAAAATGAAAAGTAATAAAATGACGATTTATGCATTACGTATATAATAATAGAAATATACATGAGAAACATCACATCACACATTCAACAGAGATTATAAAGTGAACCAACATATAATTTTCAATAATATTAC